GGGCCCATCGTGGGGCGAGCGGACAGAGCAGCCGTGCTCGTCAAGTTTGCCTACCTGGTGGACGCCAGGGTGACAGTGCTGGCCTACACGGCCAGCGACCTTCTGGCCAACGTCGGCGGCCTGATCGGCCTGCTGCTCGGCTCCTCCGCGCTCTCGCTGACGCTGGCCGGAGTGAGCGGGGCGCGGAGCCTGCTCCATCGGCGCTGGGCGCCATCGGCCGACACCTAGCACCTCCGGTCTCACCAACACCTCAGCACATCCGGTCCGACCGCCACGGCAGGACCCCTAGACTCAAGGTGGCTCGCTCAGGTCGCTGGCTGCGTTGGGAGGCGTCACGGGAGACGGCTTGTCACCGTGGACTGCGTTCTGCCTGGTGTCTGACGTCCATTGCTTTTAGAAACATGTTGCGGCGGGGGCCAAGCCAGACACAATGTGCAATCGAAACACACCGACAGCAAGACCAGTCACATGCACTCATCGACCAAGTATACACACATGATGTTTCATGGCTCTGTGTTGTCAAGAGGCACTATCCTAAGCACATCGGGCATGCCTGTCGCCACAACACCCACCAGCATAACTTCATCAGTTGTGCCAGTCACAGTGAACGTGGAGGAAGGACAGGGTGGCAGGGAGGGGAGGGGGCGTCAGACAAGTTTGTCTACGTTGAAACCTTGTTTCACAGAGGCTTGTGTTTATCAAGTTCGTCCAAAGTGAACGTTCATACAGGACAAGAATTTGTAGACGGCGAATGTTCGTATAGAAAAGTGTGTCTTTGGAAAAATTGTATAGGACGAATGTTCGTATTGCAGAAGTTCTCTCCGTTGCGGACTTGTGCCTGATTCCACATCAGCTGCTATTCCAGCGTTTAACTCCGTGAATGTAGTCCGACGTTTCTCCCGGAAACGAGTCTGTTGGAGATTCCAGTGGAGCAGAGTTTATTTTGGATTCCGTGTAAAACCTGCTGGTATTCAAGTTGTCTTTTAGTAATTGCAATACCCTAGCTGTTTTTTTGTAACTTAACTAGTATCGTACAACGAACTGATAATATTCCTGTGGCTCATGCCTTGCCAATCTTGGCGCATGCAAAACAACTTTGTAGAAAAAGGATAGTGATGTGCATAAGCGTAGGGGTAAGAAAATTGGACGGCGGGATGCAGAAGGGGAAACTCTCCCCTCCCAAAAACTTTCAGACCGAAAATTTGGGGCCCAGCAATGGAGAAAGGTGGTATGAAAGGTAACACCGCAACAAAAGGGCAAAGCATTGAGTTATGAATCCTGTTACGGTGACGTCGTGATTGTTGTAATCTCTGACAGCAAATGTTTCAAAATTAACTAGTTTGTACATGGCAGAGAGATGTTACCAAAGCCACCCCCTAGCTACTGCACCGCTTGGTAAGCTTTTGGGAAAGTTTCGAAAGTGGGATAGGCCATAGGTAATTTACTAAGATTTTGGGAACACATTTTGCCGTCGATTTTGAGATAAATGACACTTGTGTTGATCTAATTTAAAACAACAGGCGACTTTTGAAATCCACACCAAAGTGTAGCACATTTTTTAGACCCTGTATCAGTCTTTTCACTTCCTTTTCTGGTTTGTTGCGCCACAGCTCGTCACATGTACACAAAGGCATGCATCGACGCATACAGGGATTAGCGGTGCTGTTGGACAAGGCGGCCGACCCTGCATACCGCTTGCTCAGTTAACTCAGTTCAGCTCATGTCACTGTAGTCGTACTTCAGTGAGATACTTCATAACGTTCATGATTGCTCAACACAGCTTGTAAAGTTTTACATCTCGACCCATGGCTCCGAAACCTAGGCATTGCTTATCACTCATCACACAGTTTGCGCAACAAAACTCTGGCACCAAATCCTCACACAATTCTCTGTTAAGTAAACATAGTTCTTAATGCGTCACGGTTTGATGACGTCATCGTACCGTGCACAACGTTGATTGAGAGCCAATTGACAGCCGTATTATCTGGAAATCGTGCACACGAACGCCAGGTATGAATGCATTGACAATTATGCTTTCTTGGCTTGATCGCCGCATTGCTTATGGAATGGTAGGATTTGAATGCCTTTATTATGACGTAATGAATGACATTGCGACTTTGAGAAACTCTCCCCGAAATACTCTCCGCATTTTTTTGCGGGCGTGTAGCTCAGAAACTGGAGGAGCTTATGGCTAAGAAGGGTAGGACTGCTAACAGTATGGAAGGCTCTTCAAGATGGCTGTTTCAGTTCAAGACCCCATACAAATGTAGAGCACTGCATTTAATTACTGCATGTCTGGGAATCCAGAGGTACGGGGTTTCATTCCGCGCAGTTTCCGCCCTTCCTGCCAGGACTAGAGACCGGCGATGGCTCAGCAGCTGAGTACGACGTCAAGTCCCGATGACCACTGTTTTTTCTACCCTGTCATCTCCCGCCCTGTGCTCCTCTATCCTGTTCTACCTTGCCCTCTCTCACCCATACCCGGGCGCTTACCTGTACTGCTCAGTCGTGTTGTGACATATTCTCCATCTCCTGTCTTCTGACTGGCATGCCGTGCCCAGTGATGGCGGAAAATCTGTGGAGATGGGGGACGTGAAACATGTTCTTGCCCCGTTTTTGTGTGTACTACATGTTCATGTGTGTGAACTTTGTCTGCAGAATGCTTGTTTTTTGAAATCTTCCAATTCAAAATGCCATTTTCAGTTCCGGTTGTCTCCTCTAGATTCCAGTTGCATCCCTCCAATCCTGAATGTCCCCGCGATCTCACAGTCATGATTACGCCCATGCCTAGGAAAACCAAAAACTATCCCATAGTGCGTTATCTTGAACATCTTTCTCAATGGCTGTTAATCTGTCTCTATTTTGCTGCTCCCTGGCGCGTTCTTGTACTGTTCCGTGTTGCTGCCATGTCAACTGACCTACTTCTTGACGCGTGCCACTTCTGTGTATAATATTTCATACGCTTGGCAGTGTTGATGTCAAGTGATGTTAAGTTAACGTTAAAAAAACGTTAAAAACGTAAAAAAACGTTAAAAAAGCCTGACAACAGTTATCTGAGAGCGCAGTAAGAAAATTTCTCTCATTTGGAAGCTTTGCAGCACATTGTTGTCGGGAGTGGCGTTTTTTTCCTACCGGAATCAACACGCTTCTGGAATAGCTGTTTTTTTCACAGTGTTTGCTGTAACATATGGACTGTGATGTGGCTTTCTTAGGAGGGTGCGCTTATTGTGCGCGTATAGCGCGCGTTTATCTTGTCGTTGCTGGAAAAATGGTAGGACCTCCTTCATTTGTATGGCCGAACCGGCTGGGAGAGACTTCCAGGCAGGGGTGGAGCCAAAAGCTTGGGTTGGAGGAGGGAGAGGGGGCTGGAGTAGGATTTTCTAGGGATCCTGAACGAAATGGAACCCCCGCGCTGGAGAGCCTTTGGGGCAGTGTCGCATTTGATGGGAAGGGGCATCCAGGGAATGTGCTCTCTTATTAACCTGTACATGTGGCATATCCGGGAAAGCAAATATCAAACGTTAAAAAATCCAGAATGCGGGCTTTCTCATTATCTTACAAAGGGTCTCAGTATCCTAAAATAGGGCCATCTATTCCAGAAAAGGGCCTCCTGATAGAAAGCGAAACAGGATACTTCCGATTCACAAGGGAAGGGTCCCCAAATTTACCCAAGGGGCTGTGCATTTCGAAGCGGGGCATCCTGATCCAGTACCACAGCCATTTGAGACACGCAAGGAGCCTCCTGTCCCAGAAATAGGGCCTTGTGATCAAAGAGGGTGCCCCCTTATTCAAAACAGGGGCCTCGTGATTCTTAACGAAGGCCTTCCGAGCCAGCAAAGGGCCGTTTTAACAAAGCATACGAAATACAGGACATGTTGAAGGAAGGCAACATCCCTTGAGCCCTGTTATCTGCGTGACTGCACATGAGTATATGAACATCCATGTATGCTGAGCATATCTGCTCTGCGCCTGATGCCGCTGGCGTTGATATATGGTCGGCTTTCGTGGCTTTCATAGCTCTTATCCGGGCTGCACATGCAACTCAATGTAGCTTTCAGCTCTGCGATAATATGGCAACTATTGACTTGGCGATTTCGTTCGGCAAACGTCTTCGTATCTGAAGTGTTTGCCCGCGTGTGTGACGCACAAGCACGCTTGCTCCCCTCCCCCTCCCCCCTCCCCCCCACAAACAGGCAAAGCCGTGCTTGTGTCACATCGTCCGTGCATAGACGATCACGAATGGGTGCTGTACATCAAACATTGTGTCAACCTAAAATAAAGTAAGCAACAGACACACACAAATAACTAAGCACGCACACGTTTAGGAGCGTCATGTTGCGTATTCCAGAATGCGGGGTTAACGATTCGCGAGTGAAGGAGCGAACCTTTTCGAGTGGTGACGTTTCAACTTATCTGCTAGCGGCCTTGCGAAATCTCATGTTAAACCAAAGAAGATGTTACTTTTTAAAATCGGTACGAGTGCTCAGCTGATAGCGTTGACCTGACCTACACCCAGAGCCTGAATCCTCCGCGTATCTCTACCACTTAAATTAATATGCCACATGAAATGATCAATGGATCAGACCAAGCCCAAGTCATAGATGTTTTACACGGAAGTTTGGATGCGCTCGTGAGGAAATATGGCAGGTACACTGTGACAATCTGTGAGCAGATTGAAATGGATGACATCATGCCGTATGGTCGTTGTGCGAGTGGCAACAACTATTGAATAAATGTTTGTGTGCATTGTGCGCCCGAGTATGCACCGAAATAGGATTGTGCTACTTCGCCTGACAATCTAGAACCAGCTACAGGCAACGCATATAACTTTGTATCCTCGCATGACAAGCGTCAACTAGACCAAGACGTTGTAGTTTACGGATCCTAAAAGTCAATCAAAATCAGTTTTTGTTCAGAAGATGTCGACTATGTTTTATTGATGGCCGTGCATTCAGTCTTAGTTGTATGTTTTAACGGCACAACAAATGACAACGCATTCCCTACGCACGGGCCTCCAGACGCACCAACTGCGAAACGAACGCTCTGGGAAGCGTCACGAGTAAGCCAGAGCTCACGGGACGCGCGCGGCTTGATGCCTCCGATGGCTAAGATGACGAAGCTCGCTCCGACTTGTCCATCAAGCAGCAACGAGCGGTTGAAAGAGCCTTTGGATTGAACGTGAGCGTTGCGACCAAGCTTGCAGTGGCGACAATGCCGCTGAGAAGAAACACCAGGGAATACCCGTAGCGATCCAGCAGAGAATTAGTCAGCAGGGGCACCAGAGGTCCGCCCACAGCTCCACCCAAGAAGATCACACCATAAATCTGTCCAGCGTTCTCGGCGCCAAACGTGACTGCTGTCCCCGTCACAACGATCGAGAACGTTCCCGAAAAACAGAAAAATGTGGCCCAGATCCAGAGGAGGTACATCACTTTGCCGCCCTCCGACGTGGCCTGCAGTGTGTACATGAGTGCACAAAACAAGCCTGTCAGCAAAACCATGACCGGTTTGTAGCCGAAGACGTCGCATAGGAATCCCCAAGTCAAGCGGCCCAGCATGTTGAACACGGAGGAGCCAGAGCCGACGAGTTCCAGGAAACGATCGTCCTTGATGAAAGTCTGTCCAAAGGCCTTCCACAAAGGATTTAGGATCGCGATGGAAAAATTGTTACACATGTACGCCAGAAAAAGCTGGTACATCGCCCAAGTGCGTAAAGCGTCCTTCAAAGAATAAACAGCTTGCTCTTTCGAACTCGATGAGAGGGCCGTCACATCCTCTAAGCTTCGTTCCGGCTCATCATCTTCTGCTAGAACGTCAGCCTCTTGCTTGCTGCTGAGTGGCCGGCCTACTTTTCGTCTCGGAGGATCGCAAGTCCCGAGAACCCCAATCACCTGTAGAACGGCGCACACCCCTGCCTGCAGCAGAAACACCTTCGGAACACGGTCCAGCAGCGCTGCGTCGTGGAAAAAGCCGTCCTCCTCCGGCGACACGTTGTCGGGGTTGAGGAAGCCTGTCTGGATGGTGGTGAAGAGTATGCCGCCCAGACCGTAGCCTCCGACCACCACGCCGCTCACCAAGCCTTTGCTGTTTGGGAACCACTTGTAGCCGACCAGGAGCGGCACGCCGTACACCAGCCCTACGCCCAGGCCGTTCGCCACGCCGTACGTCATCGTCACCCACGCGAGGGACGTGTCGACGGTAAGGCTGGTCAGCGCGATGGCTCCGCTGGCCACCACACTGCCCAGGAGCACGACGACGCGGGGGCCACGACGCTGGTACAGTACGCTGCCGGGCAGCAGGGTCAGTCCCTCGGCGATCCCCAGCGCCGTGCCCACCCACACCGTCTGACCGTAGCTCACGTCCTGGCCGCCGCGCACGTGGAGGTACGACGTCAGGTAGGTGGTGAGGTTACCGAAGGTGAACATGCTGCCCATGGAGAGCTGCAGCAGGAAGCCGGACGCGAGGGCCAGCACGCCCCTTGCCGGAAGCGACCGGAAGGAGTCGGCTAGCCGCCGGAAGTAGGGTGTTTCCGTTGCCATGTGCTGCCGCTCTCCTGCCAACAGATTGTATATGGTCATCGTGATGCAGATTATATGTACCCCTGTCGTCAATATACACTCATCGTGGGCATCATATTCTGCTCACAGATCATTTCCGGTCGGCGCACTTAATGGCTCACGGAAAACGGCGCATATATATATATATATATATATATATATATATATCATTTTTCATATATATATATATATATATATATATATATATATACGTATATCTATATATTATATATGTCGTCATCAGAGCATGTGATGTCTATTACTTACCAAGCTACCATTCGGTACCACTCACCTTCCGACTGGGCTGCCGTCGACGGGTTTAGTGATCCTCAAGTTTAGTGGAGATCAGCGTGAATTGTGCATTGTAGGTGTTGTCGGGAAAGCCTGTGATGCACATTGCTCATCCGCGATCATTTTCTATTTTCATTCCATCCGAGTGAGGAAACGCAGCGACGCAAGTAGTGACTGGGATTATTGGTTGTAGGTAGAAGCCATCTGATACTTTTTAAAGCTTGGACATTTGGACAACCTGATTTTTTACACTTTTGGACCGACAGCTAGTCCATTTGTAGATTTCTATTGAACATCAGATAGGAGCTCCCAGAAAGGGACACCTATGATATAACGGTGCACATGCATATGTGCATATATTTTCAGCTGCATGGGCAGCGTTCTTGAGCGCCTTTGGAGGCGTAGCATTAAGTTATTGCATTGAAAAACCGAACACCACATTGTTTCCTTGAGGTCAATATATCATGGACAACGACCCTGCCGCTCAAGTGCTGAGCGTTCTCAGTTAATCCCATCTCGCGCTGTAAGCCAACATAAAATGCAAGGTATCTTTATCGCAGCATGCAACGAAAAGGCCACGCCACGGCTCTTTCAAGTGCGGTCCCATCTGCTGTTTGCGTAGCTTACGGATGTTGACCTGTGACATTACATTTATGGCTACACTTTGGTGAGGAATGCACTTTGATATTAAAGTGCTCCCCATGCTCGATGACGCAATCAACCGGTAGGATAAAGGCTATATATCGAGTGTAAACATCTAACTGATATTATGGGATAACTGGAGTTTTTGTGTTGCTGCCTGTTCCGTTTCCGATCTGTATTATTTTTAAGCCACTTTAAGAATACAGGTAATGAGTAAACAAGAAGATTACAGGCTATACGTACTTGGTTCAAATTGCTATGATTCATTAAGACTACAGGTAATGTTTGTGAAACACATCAGTCATGAGCCCGTTTTGATCCGCATATTCGGAGGTACAGCTCTTTTGCGCAATTATGATTAAAGTGAATGTTCCACATTTGAAGATATCAAAGCAGGCATCAGATATGACGAAATCAGCTCACTTATGACTAACAGCATACTTTTAATCGGAAAGGACTGCTCTAGACAACAAAACAACTCTATTTAGTAAATGTGCTCCTTAATACATCATTTTTTGATCACTGCATGGAACGTCTGCATGACGCTAGAAGTGTGAGTAGGCAGTGCGAGGTTGCAACCCTCGCTCTCACTTGTGGCACTTCAACTTGCCGAGAGATGGCAGTGGCGTTGCTGGGCGTATTTGCTAAAACAAGTATCGTGAACTCGTGTTATTGGCCCTTTCTCGTGCTCTTCTTACGCATTTGTTCGATATTTTCTGGTTTTACTTGAATTCGCATACGGGGCTTTGGTGCTTTTCTTGAGAATTGTCCATATTTGTATGGGGTTTTGAATAAATAGCTTCTGCTAGCCGGCCAGTTTGGAGCGCAAGCACACTCCAGACGTTTCACTGTGGTATGCGATTACACAAATCAAGTATACCGCATATAAACACTCGCATTAATATAGAAATATAATCCTACTTCGGAGGTGCTTGTAGATCAAAGAGTATTCACCGCTTTCATCGGTATACACCCATAGATAATTTTAGTTGGAATATATAGAACACATGTTCTATATGAATTGATACTCGTAGCCATGCTTTTGTTTCTAAGAAATCGTCTCTCTCTCTCTCTCTCTCTCTCTCTCTCGTCTCTTCTCTCCTCTCTCTCTATCTCTCTCTCTCTCTCTCTCTCTCTCTTCTCTCTCTTCTCTCTCCTCTCTCTTCTCTCTCTCCTCTCTCTCCTCTCTCTCTCATTCTCCTCTCTCTCTCTTCTCTCTCTCTCTCTCTCTCTCTCTCTCTCTCTCTCTCTCTCCTCTCTCTCTCCTCTGCTCTCTCTCCTCTCTCTCTCTCTCTCCTCCTCTCTCTCTCTCTCCTCTTCTCTCTCTCTCTCTCTCTCTCTCTCTCTCTCTCTCTCTCTCTCTCCTCCTCTCTCTCTCTCCTCTCTCTCTCTCTCTCTCTCTCTCTCTCTCTCTCTCTTTTTGAAGTCTGGCATTCTGACCAGGCGGGTGATCCCGGGCCGAAAGTACAGTGATTTGTCCATTAGATATAAAGTGGGAAGAAACATGTGTGGGAGTTTGGGGGTGTGCTCAGCTCTAAGCCAACAGTGCTGTGACGACGCAGTCGCCCGGCACTGAGAGCGCCCTGAGGCCGACAGTGTGCTTCTACTGCTTTGCTGATCGCAAAACATTGAGGTGACCGAATTTCGGCGCTACGAAAGCGAAATGCCCTGTCCTCATACTATTTAGTGCTTGCTCACCTGCTGAAGGTTTCTCGACAGATGCTGACTGGTAAGCAGGTAACGTCTGTCCTCCAAACGCCCTCTGCTCCACAAATGTTCTCTGTTCCAGAGATGCTGTCTGCTCCACAGATGCTGTCTGCTCCACAGATTCTATGTGCTGCCCGGCCTGCGTCTGCTGCCTATCCAACGCAAGTTCACCACCTGCTGTATGTTCCCGGACGACTACCCATTATGCAAGTGTGCATTTGATGTCATTGGTTTGCTCGCCTGATAACAGAGACACGACTCAATGATAAGAGGCGCCCGAGGCCTTGAACTATAACAGACAGGATGAGGGTTCAAATAACTGTTTCCAGCGTTATCGTTATGCATCTTTTCTGTCTTAGAGCGACCATCCGTTTTTTTCTGAGACAAGGTATTACCCTGCATGGGCGTAGGAACAGGGCGGGCCAGGTGGGCCATGCCCCCCCCCCCTCACTTTTCAAGGTGGTGGGGGGGAGGCCAGCAGTGTTAACTGCCCCCCCCCCCCAGTTTTCAGATAACTGTTGTTTTTAGCTTACTTTTGCACCACATTTAAAGATACATGCCGATTTAACTAGTTCACCAGCCATCTCCCTCAAGATTCGTCACCTTTTTCGTTTGCTTATTGGCCACCGCCCAGTGTCACAACCGCAGGCCGACGCCGCGCGACCTATGGAGACTGGAACGCCGGGTATTCAGGCTGTTGTTGCTACGACTTGCGAGCGCATATGTTCAAAACCGTCTTACATAGCTTTTTATCAGCAATCAATTCTGACTGAATCTTAAACATTTTAAGACGAACATGGATTAGCCACGTTAATGCAAGCTTAGGACCCCGTTTCATCTACAATCTATGCTCAGGAATTCCTCAATATCTTTGAAGAAAACAGAAAGCACGGAACTGGAGCCTGTGTTACAATTATTGGACCACCTTTGGCGATCAGGGATGTTATTGCATGAGTTTCTGTGCTGATCCGGGGCCAACTGCGCGGGTCAGAAGGCCTCCCGTGTCAGGGAGGTCTTCAGGGAGGGAGGGAGGGGAACAATGTGATATGATATATCCTTTCCACGGCTTCCGGATCGACCAAGAGATCTCGCCCCGTGTCGCCAGAATGACAGCCAGAAGACGCTTCGCGATGGGACGGAATGGCCCTTCAGCTCTTGACCGGAACCGGTAATGAGCCCTAGGTGTTCTTCTCAAGGGGCCTCTTTCCCGGAAGGAAATAATGGGCCTCATTGTTGTTTAGTAGAGTAGAGTAGAGGTCTCATTATTGTTAAATATAGTAGGTCGAAATAAATGTTTAAAAACAAGCAAGACCATCCCATGTTTGCCTAAGAGCATTCATTTTTCAGAATGGATTAGTGAAAAGTGCATCAAAAGGTTTGAACATGCCCGCCCGCAACCTCGAGAGCAAGGACAGCGATGGTCTGGGTTGCAGCTTCCGTAAAATCGAACGTCGTCGACCACTGCAAGTGCCACTAGACGGCGGGTGCCGTGTCAATTTGTCTTCTGGACAGATTGATAGCTACAGAAACACGAAAAATAGAAAATCTACCCTTACTACCCTGACTCTTCCAGTTCCACCACCAGATTCCAGCACCACTTCGCGGTGCTTTATGAGCCAATCTGCTCTCATCATGAGTCTAAAAATCGCACAAGTAAAATATGCGCCCAGACTGCCTTGTAGATGTAAGACTTGATGTCCCAAAGCGTCCAAAGGTACTACTTTCAGAAGCGTCATCATTTTCTTCCACCCGTTGGCCACGACTCAGTATTACTTGCTGAGCTGACGCTGCGCAGCCTATTGAGACTGCAACGCCTGGCGTCGAGGTTTCTTGAACTAAGATTTGCGGGTACGCCTGCTCAAAATTATGTCACTCATAACTTGCATTTCTAACCGATTTAAGTGTTTAGTGGTAATTATTTCACAACCGTTATCATTTTCGCTCACCGGTGGGCCGTGACGAAAAGTTAACCACTAAGCTGGCGCTCCGCGCACTATGGAGACTGCAGCGCCTGGTGTCGAGGTTTTTGTTGCCAAGATTTGCGAGCGCGCATGTTAAGAGCCGCGTTGTATAAATTGCATCACTAATTGATTCTGACTGAATGTTGAATATCTCCAGACAAACATGCCTTGGCGATGAGTTGTGAGAGTGGCACGAGACGCCACTAGGCGGAAAGATAAAAAAGATTGTCTTTGTGTCATAATCATCTTTTACCCACGCTATCTTGTAATATTCCAGCCAAAGGCGTTGGTGGGGGGGGGGGGGGCAACTCAGCATGGGGGGCTGGGCCCTCACAAGATAATACAAATAGACACCCGTGCATTAAATGTTTATGATGGCCTTCAGTATTCCATCACAAGCTTGCATGTTTTTGTACACTGTAACCTTTTTCCTTATTCTGGGTGCACACTTTGCTCGTTTTTGGTACGTACATCTATTCTGTTTACCTTAGGGCAATACCGGCGCGAACGAAGGAGATGTAAGCGTTGGCTCACATTCAGTGCTCTCAACGTTGCCGTTCCGTGGAATGCGCAGTTTAGTGGTTTTGGTTGTATTATGAGGTAAGGTACCTTGGCGGTTTCTTTGCAGTTACGGGTTCATCACCATCGTCATGTGCAGCATTAGCACGATCATAAGCCAACATACCTTCTGAGCATTGGAAGAATGGAACTTATATTGTTTGCTTGTGTCGTTTACTATGCTCAGATGATCCAGAAAACATATTTTCTGCGTGAAACGCTTCATATGTGACAGCCTGTAAGTTTGAAGTTCAGAGTTCAAGTTCAAGTCTAGTTGGTGCCTGGTTCAAATTTGGAACCAAGCATGATCCACAACTTTGGTTAACTTTACCCATAATTAAATCACAGACATGTAAACTAAAATTATCAGGGGAATTACTTGGCCATGTGTTGTGGCAATGCCATTTATAATGTGCTGATGTCAAGTGCAATGAAAGCGTTTTTGCCTGCATTTTGCCTGCATTTTTGAAAAATGGCAGATCACCTCTGGGTGGTATGTTTTCCAGAGATTACCTCCCAGCAGCATCTATATTTTTGGACTCATTGATATGTATTTCTTGAAATTTTAGAACAACACAGATGATCTGCGAGGATCTTGGCACAAAATGACCATTGAAGTGTGCATGCCTAAGAGCTCCAATCATCATCATTTGGTGTGATTATGTGGGAAGGGCTGTGCTCCTGTTCTTCCTTGTCCTGTACCCCCCCCCCCCCCCCCCCCAGCATGCTTGACTTGGATTGAAGCTCAGGTGTTGGATTGCTGAGATCACATTGAAATATGTGATGTTAATTAATCATGCAAAGAAGCAAGTGTTAATGCCTTTTGTTTGAACCACTTAAAACATGTAAATACTGAAATGTGCCATGAAAGCATCCTTCACTCATATATCATAGTTATATTTTGTCTGCCGACATCATGTTTGGCTGATCAGTTAAACAGTGATGAGCAGCATCTTTTGCCATTCTCTAATCCTAATGCATTAGCAATGTCCTGCAAATGATTGTATGAGTAACAGCTGCGCTGGCAAACTGCAACTTTGCCACTGGTTTTAGATGCCAGATGGTTTGATATGAGTTACATATAGGTGCATATAGGTCTACAAATTCTAATAATTTCTGTGGTTTTAAATTAAAGTGTGAATATGGCTGTTTTTGACTTCAGTCTACCATACCATCATCATAATTTCTCACCTACTAAATAAGGTCTGTATATGCACGTTAATCTAAAATTCAATGAGTGCTAAGTGGTTTGTGTAGCCAGTGCTAAGGTCTGGAGAGTTTGGAGTTGCATGCAAGTATCTTTGAGAATAATTGCATACTTTTGTGTTTTGGGTACATGAAATAGCTTGCAAGTAGATTGTCTCCTAGTAACTTATATTATGTTATACCTCCACCTGTTGAGGGTCATCCCTACACCTGGGGTGTTAACTGTAGCATGCGCCAGGCTCTCGTGCTGTGAACTTGTGGGTTGAGTGCACAACATGTCAAGTTACAAACCAGAAGCTACATTTGTTTTAAGTGAAAATAGATTGTTTTGTAACAAAAACATTGTAGACAATGATAACTTGAATATAATGAAGTGCATCCAGTGATTGACATGAATTTTCTATTGCTGTAGATATTCATTCTTTTCTGAGTGGCATTGTATGCATGATGAGGGGTGTCCATGAGAAGAGAGTGCTGACATCTAAATCCACTATTTATTTCTGATCTAGTAGAGAAATTAACCCAGAATGCTATGTGACACCCCATTCCATGTTACACTTAGGTTAGGAACTCTCTGATATCAGTCATTATGGGGTGAAAAGCCTTCAACATAAATGTTCTGCATGAGTGTGGATGTGTTTCATTATCAGTAGCAGACAAATCTCTATGATGTGCATCCAGCAAGATCTGATGATGGCCAGACAAAGTTCTTAGGTGATGGCTGCCTTGGGATATTTTATTGGTGTGGGCTTGTTAATATACACCTGGATTTTCATACAACCCCACATAAAAAGATCAAGAGATATAGTTAAGGGAGATAAGTGGCTGTAACTTTCATCTTGCTGCTGACAAGCTGGTTCCAGCAGTGGCTTTGGAGTCAGTCCAGGGTACTGATTGATATTTGTGGCATTGTGTCATTTTGTTAAGACCACTGATTCCCTCTGCATTTTCCAGGCCATGGTACAAGTTTTTTCCTAAACACCATCTTAAGATAGCATTTACTAGTGACAATCATAGCCTCTCCATCTTTGACTGCAAAGGTCAAATACAGCAGGCTAGCATGTCTAGAATAGCGGTCTAGCTTTGAGACTCATGTGACCCTAAAGGTGAATTCTGTGGGATGGTGCAAGGGCTTAGTTTACACCTCACCTGGGGCCTCTTCCTGTTCCTCAGCATATCACATTACAGATATTATGAAGTCATTTGGTCAGAAGTGGGCCTCCTCACTGAACCACATTACTGTGCTGTATTGATGACACATGCTGGTGTGCATGCACAATCACCTTGGCTGGTGGTCAGATTTCCTGGAGGTAATGCTGGTTAACTCAGCTGTCATAGGTTCCTGTGATTCCTATTGCTGCAGTAAATGACCGATGTCATGTGTTTCGTGAAATGCATCATTTGAGAGAAATGGTCCAAGAAACCATATCACACTCACAAAACAGGAAGAGCAAACAAACCTTGCTGAGTAGTTTTTAGCTAGAGACCTTTTAGAGTACCAGTCATATTCCCATCATAAGGATGGAGGAAATGTCTTGTGGGTAGCAAAATAAGTTGCAACTGTTCCACTCTGTGGGAATGGACGCCGAATTCGAGGATGCCCTGCTCTCGGCCAAGAAATGGAATGTGGTTGTCGAGTTCGCTACGGGAGCGGCGTCACACATGCTTAACCAGTCTTCAGATGATGGTTACAGGACCGGTGCTCTCAGGGCCGAAGGTTTCCAGACCACGTCATGCCCCCTGGTGACCTTGGAGCTGTCGGCGTTGTGACCTGGCGCGTTATCGTGCAGCCATATTTCAGCGAGTGCCGGCGTGCGCTGGCCAGTGCCGTGCTCACTCATCTGATGGACCACGAGTAGACCGGCACGCCACCTAGGCCCGTGGGTCGTGGACGTCACCCAGCCGGGCTCCGAGAATGCCCAAACAGCCGCGGGACAGCGGCCGCGTCACCTTCTACCCGTACGACCGGCAGTACGGCTGGCGGCCCTCGATCGGCGATCAGGACGCGCTCTCGTCCCAGCTGTACTCGGGGTGCGTCGGGCAGCACGGGGCGCTCGCGCACCGGCGCCGTGGTGGGCTCGATACTCGCCATCGGTGGTGTTTATTGTCCGCCGGCCATGACCGGCGCTAGAGATTGCGGGGCGTGATGCGATGTTTGCACGCATTAGAATTGGACGCAATGGGATGGAGGTTTCTAACTTGGTGGTTTTGCTGAGCATGCAGCTTTGGGTGTTTTGTGGAGGTGCCCTTGGCTTGACTGATTGCCATGTATGTGCACGGGTTTCTTCCAAGGTCTTACCATTTGTTGTTACTCAGTGTTCTAAGAATATTATCTGTAAAGTATTTGCAGATTCTTTAAATTTCAGTCCAGCATTGAGTAACTGATATTCTTCTAACAGTGCTACCATGCCGAGCAGTTTAAGTGCGTTTTATCAGTAGGAGTTAAGTTTAGTTTTAAAAGCGTTCTCCTCCGACCAACTCGATATTTCATGGAATGACTTTTGGCCCTCGCCAGGATTTCTCCGGTAGCCACATATGACGACGCACAAGGAGGAGCCGTATTCAACCTGGAGTTTTCAGAAGACGGGTGAGTAATTGGTCGTACCAACCCATTGTAGTTCTGTCCGTATGTGCCACTGTGTGTGCCTCACGCTCCCGATCTGTCGGCCAGGGTTGAACGGCCATGATCAGGCAACGTTTGCAAGCGTGATTCTGAGCACAGTCATCAAAATATGTCTTTAATGTGACCTAAGTGGTCGCGTACCTAACCGCGCGAGCTGTAGAAGTGGCCGCATGTGTTGAGCCTCGACGCGGCTGGCGCCGGCCGGCCGGCGCGACCGGCGTCTGACGGCCGGCTCCGTCTGTCTTTCTGGCAGCAAGGTGCTGGCCGCCGCCTGCGAGCGACGCTGTGTGCTGCTGTTCGACACGCTCACGCGGCGGATCGTGCACACCGTCGAGAACGCTCACCAGGGCTTCGTCAACTGCGTCAAGTGAGCGGCGGTTGCTGTCCTGTCGCTGCCGTTGCTAGTGTCGTGAAAATGTCCACTGGACAAACTGCTCATGGTCTGAAAGGTTATGCAGTGGTAGTTAATGTCGCCAATGGACCCTACCACAGCCGTGCTATCCACCCAGACGTCTCTTCCCAAACGCTCCAACGGCGGGTGGTGTACTGTGAAATACACATGACATACCCGTAGACCATACAACGCAGACCGTTACGCGCTGTCTCGCTCTGGCGAAGTCGTTGGCGCATGCGCCGTATGTAGATGGGTCGGCGTGGATGGTCGCGAGTGCCGTCTACGCTGGCTGCCGCCAGGTTCCTGGACTGTCGCATGTTCGCCTCGTGCTCGGACGACAAGACGGTGGCGATCTGGGACGTGCGCAACCTGCGCCAGAAGGTGCACTGCCTGGAGGCGCACGCCAACTGGGTCAAGAACATCGAGTACCTGCCGCACAAGAGCCTGCTGGTGACCTCCGGCTTCGACAGCAGCATCTACACCTGGAACCTCAACAACATCGGGTCAGCGTCCGCGTTAACTTTTAAGATTGACCGCTGCCACGTCGAGAACGTAACCAGCCAGGGTCATTGTTTCCGACTGTAACGTCAACAGCACCCCGTCAGTGCTGTCATACGTCCGTAGCGATCCGCAGCGCCCTGCTGGATCCTGTCAGCACCGGCCTGGGAGGCTCCGGGCTCTTCCCGCGCCGGCGGCGCCCCTGATCGGCTGACGTCCGCGTTGCGTCCAGGGGCTGCGAGCAGCGGGCGCAGCATACGCGTGTGCTGCACGCCAGCGGCCTGATGCGCATCAGCCTGACGCCAGACTTCAGCAAGCTCGTCATCTGTACCAACAACGGCTACCTCATGGTGGTGCACGACGTCGACTTCGACACCATGCAGGAGGACCTGCGCGGTTTCAAGGTGGGCAGCGTGACGCGCGCCAGAGAGCGGCGCTCGAGTGAAGTGTTGCATGTGTTCGGGGACGAATGTGTTGCATGTTTTCAGGCCCGCTGTGTCGGGATTCGTCCTTCGTACCGTCGTCTCCCGCTTCCGCCGTAATCACACTGCCCCTCGACAGTAACACCGGGGAAGTAAGTCAGATTTTAGGTGCGCGCCGGCGGTTCCCGCTCGCTGTCAGTCACGGTCGGTGAGCTTCTCGACAGCCTCGCCAGCGCCCCACGGCGGCGTCAGCATCAGCGCAGTGGCCTGGACCTCCGGTTACCTCCGGTTGACTTGGCCCCTGTGCCGCCAGCCGAGCTTGTACAAGCTGATGCAGATCAGCAAGACGCCGTTCCCGGCTGCCGCCCGCTACACCCACCTGTTCGACCTGGGCCGCCGACGCAACCGGATCGAGTTCATCACCGACTTCCCCGAGGGTAGGGCCGGCGCCGCGCCGCCAGGTGTCTGCACCAGCGCTGTCCAGGCGGCCACGCGGCAGCACCAGTCGCGTGCTGCCGGGGATTCAGACATAGGGCACGGCGTAGAACAAGACATGCCCGATCGGCCTGCGCTTGTCACTCACCGTCCCTTTCCAGTGGTGATGCGATTTGCTGCGTTATTTGGAAATCGAATATGAAATTCATTGTCCAGCACCCTGTACTGGTCTGAAGGGGGAACTAGCCGCGCTAGCTGCTTGGGAAAATGGTTGTAGCGGTGCCAAATGCTGAATGTTGTTCGGTCCGACAGGGAACGAGGCCGACATGATCGCGTCGCTGGCCATGCACCCCCTCAGTTGGTGCGTGGCGAGTCGCAACACGAGCGGCGACGACGCCACCGAGTGGACGTGCGTGCACGACATTCAGGACGAGCACCTGCCACCGGCCGCGCTCGACCCGGACGCCTCGCACGACCCGCCCGAGCAGGAGCCGGCGCCGGAGCCCGCGCCCGAGCCAGCGCCCGAGCCGGCGCCCGAGCCGGCGCGGCCGGCCGAGGCCGATCCGGTGCGCGAGCTGCAGGACATCGCCGCCACCGCCGGCTCGCTCTTCACCATCCGCGTCAACGAGAACCGCGCCGCCGACGACGGCGAGGCGGCGGACGCGCGGCGCCGGCCCATCATGCAGATCCGCTTCAACGCCACGCTGCGGCACGCCGGCAACGGCGAGACAGCGCCGGCCGGCGGCGGGCTCATCCAGGCGCTGGCCGGCCGCAGCATCGAGCTACGCGCGCCCTCCGCCGACATGGTGGAGGCGCTGGAGATCATCCGTGAGCACCGACGCCGGCAGCGCGCCGTCGAGCGCGGCGTGTCGCCCGATGACGACGCCGACGCGCAGGGCCCGTTCATCATCCGCGCCGGGCCGTCGCGGCTGGGCGGCGGCGCCGAGTCTGTGCTGCTAATCGGCTCGCAGGCGAGCGCGCGCGAGCGCTACCGGCATGTCGACTTCGGCCACAGGATCGCGCAGAACGTGCCGCGGCTGGCGCGCTTCATCGAAGAGCCGAACCTGCAGCTGACGCACGGCTATATCAAAGAGTTGTGCTTCAGCGCCGACGGCCGCCTGCTTTGCTCGCCGTTCGGCTACGGCGTGCGGCTGCTGGCGTTCAGCGAGGCCGGCCAGGAGCTGAGTGCGTGCGCGGCGGGTGGGCCGCGCCGCCTGCACGAGCTGGCCGCCACCACGTCACATCGCTGCGCGGTCGTGTCGGCCCGCTTCTCGCCGGTCGAGTGTCTGCTGGTGACGGGCTGCCTGGGCGGCGGCGTGGTGTGGCACCAGCCTCGGCTCGCCTCCTGAGGCCGACCGGCTCGCCTCCTGAGGCCGGCCGGCTCGCTCCTCCCACCCGCACTCCGCTGTGATAGGCGCCGCCGGGCCGGCCGCACGCACAACCGCCGGCGACGCGCGGCCGCGGCTGGTCCGTCAGCTGTGGCGTCAGGGCAGGGCGCGCGAACCACAGACGCGGTGTGGCGGCCGGCCGATCCGACGTTTGGAAGCGCGCGGGGCGCACCGGGTGACGCACCAGCCTGCGCGTGACCGCGCGTCACCAGATGCCGGTGCTCGCTCATCGAATGAGTTAATTGGTGATGTGCTGTGCCCGGCGGTTGCGATTTTCTGTGGGCGAAGGTGCCGGCACCTCGCCAGCGCAGGTGTGATTCTGCAGCAGTCAGGGCCGGCGCCGGTCGGCTGTTCTTCCGATGCCGCGGGCACGTCGTCGCGGCTGCGCAGCGCAGGCGCCGGCGCCTCTTATTCGTGTTTCCAATAAATAGGTCATATGTCGTGCGTTGTATTTCGATGATCTTGCGATTGGCATGCCGGGAACCACAAGAGAGTACATTTGCATTCCATATAACACTTGTGGTTTCCACAAACGGGAGGAAAACTCGATGCTAGCTCTGAGCGTTCACATTCCACAATGAGGGACCGAATTATCAAACATCGATAGTGTAATTGACAAGCATCAAAACTCACGACCGCACAGGAGTAAGAAGAAATTGTCAGCAAAATGTAGCGCCACCATGCACTGGACAATCGCCATTATAAAGGAGTAAAACACCGCACAGCAACACGACCATGTCCGTCGGGAATCCCGGCGGACGCCGCCCGAGCTGGCGGGCCGCCGGCGCCGACCCGTCCACCGTTGGCACCCGGCTGGAGCGCGAGGCTCGGCCGACATGTCCACCCGACAGCGGACGGCCCACCGCCGACCGCCGGTGCCAGCGCTGCGAGTGTGAGGAACTACAACCCGGCGCGCCATGAGATGGGGATTGAATGGATGACGTCGCTGGGTCCATCGCATGCATTTTGTCGGTCACAGGCCCAAATCACACCGATACGACACCGACCGCTGGACACATTATCGCCCCCCCCCCCCTTCCGACACACACCGACGCATCCCTGGCCCAGATAGAACAACCACGTGACTTAAAAAGAAACACGTTCGTGACTAGCATGGCGGCGCGATTTGGCCGTGGTTCCATCATCCACTACTACATCCACTGCGATTTGGCCGTGGTTCGACTAATAATCCAGCTATGTAAGCGTAGCCACAGATGGCGCACGGACGATAAGCCCGTGTTTTGTGCGTTTTACGCGTGTTATTGCACACACATGGAAGCTGCTAGCGCCAGATCTAGCCCTCTAACGCGCGGGTTCCCAGAGATTATCAGCAGGAGTCGATCGCTGACCGGGAGGGCGGATCAGCAGCACACAGCGTAACCGGCGCACAAACGGTGACCGAGCTTGCCACGACTAAGAAATAGAGGCGGGAAAGGCAACCAGTTGTATCACGTAGGCAACGGAGGAAGTTTGCACGAGTGATGAGCACGGTCTTCATATATAACATGCTTTGTCCCCGATGAAATGGTCGTCAAAGCCCAGTGAGGCTGGCAGGAGCGCTGGCCACAGGCAAATGTGATAGTGTGAGCACACAGAACGGGGATCGGACCTTAAACTAACTTGTAGACATCACCTCTGATTTGTATCGAATATCGCTCATCGTGTATGCACATTGGAATTCCATGGATATTTGACATGGTCGCTATTGTGGATCCAGTCGTCCGGCCGACGCCTGGTCGAAGGACGGGCGTCGGCAGCGGCTCACGCTCAGCCCGGGCCGCCACATCACGGGGCGGGCGGCGGCAGCGGATTATGCTCAGCCCGGGCCACCACATCATGGGCGGGCGGCGGCAGCGGCTCACGCTCAGCCCGGGCCACCACATCACTGGCAGGTGGAGGCGGCGGGTCACGCTCAGCCCGGGCCGCCACATCACACCACTTCTGAGCCTCACATCAGAGCGCCCACCGTCCCACGTCGCACGGCACGAACCACGCGGCGCACAGCCGGCGCTGTCGGACGCGTGCGGGGCCCCTCAGCCGCCCACGTGGCGCAAACGGGTACACGTGACAACCTGGGGAACCGACGAGGGTGCTTCCACCTCATGCCGGTACTCCACGGACTGTCCTTCTCCAGCCAGGCCAGCGACCAGTGGTCCCGCCTTAAACACAAACCCCGGCACCATTCCCTGCTGACCGAACAGGTCATCTCCGAGGGGCCCATCCACCCGGAAAACGTCAGTTAAACATCCACGGCGGGAAACGACCGTAAACGCTGGGGCGACAGGTGCGGCCCCTGCTCCAAAGAGGGACGATCATGACAGCTTAACAACAGCAGGTCAAAAGAACCTGCCCACGCCACTGACGCGCACTAAGCACAGGGCGCAGAGCGGGTGGCTCCCACAACACGACCTTCCTCACACGTCTGGGCACCAGGGTAACCTGAGCCAGCAGTAGACGGCTCGGCCGGCTCGTAAAACATAACATGTACAGCCAAAAGCCCAGAATCAGTGCCCCAGGTAAATGTTTCCACACAGGCTAGCCGACGGCCGACACGAGTTCGCTACGTGAACTCAAGCTATTTGCGACAAGGAACACCTGAACTGGCCCATTTTGCGGCAGGAGCAACACGACTTGGTCGGACCAAGAGGTCTCCGGCCTTCGACCAACAACGGCGCGCCGGATACTGAGGAGTACGAGCTGGACCCATGGACGAGGCTGCCGACACCGGGGCAGCGCCGCTGCCACAGACACACACACACACACACACACACACGCACGTAAAGACGGGGACGAGAATTGCACATCAATTGGAGTATAAGTACACAGATACAAATAAGTACGGACACGGGGGGGGGGGGGGGGGGAGACAGATAAGCCGGACCCACCACCAGGAAATGGCCACCCACACTTTGGGTATCAGAGGACACGACACCCGGCCGGTGGTCCCTGCCCCGTCCCCACCAGAGCGCCTCGCTGGGGACGCCCGGCCCGGACTACAACACTCCTCCTACAGCAGGCTGGGATCGGGCGGCAGAAGGACAGGAGCGTCGCGTGGCGGCTGCGGTGTCAGCCTGTTGGCACGCATGTAGCCGAGGAACTGGGTGGGCACCTCTGCCAGCACCTCGCGCGCCAGCCGCGTCCTAACGGTGGCCGGGTCGGCGCCGGCGAACGCGCGCAGCGGCACGAACTGGACGATGTCGCGCTCGGCGACGCGGCCGCCGGCCGAGAGGCGCACCTCGTCGCCGTCCAGCTCCTCCATGGCGTCGAACTCGGCGTCGCCCACGCCCACGATGATGATGGACAGCGGCAGTGACGAGGCTTGCACGATAGCCTGCCGGACAGCGCTGCAGTCGGTACACGACCTGGGGCGCGCCCGCGGCGGGCATGGCGCGCGCCCGCGGCGGACATGGCGCACGCCCGCGGCGGGCATGGCGCGCGCGGCGAGCGCGACGTTGCTGCGAGCAAAACCAGCCACCAAAGCTGGCCGTGCTGGGAGTTTATGATCCAAGTTCATTTCGGAATTCTGCTTTGAGCGCCGTTACACCTTCCTGGTGTGTCGTCAATGCTGATGATGGCCACTCAAAATGGACTAAAAACGAAATAAACCCAGAACTCGTTCCCTTTGGGCTTGAGAAACAAGGCCTTTTGGTACGTGACACCACTCAGCTCGTGCAGGTCTCTTAGTGTACCGCAATCTGGCCACATCAGCCGAAAGCCTCATTCAGGGTTCAAACGATCCGTTCTTGCCGAAGCATACCTTAAACTAACGGCCATTTTACAAACGAAAGTTCGCACATAAAATCATGGCTTTTGAGTTCAGCCCGTTTGGCTTAGGCCAACTCATCGACAGCTTAACCGGGATTTTGCTCAGAGACGTTCAAAGTATCTGGGCAACCATTGAGGTCGTTGTTCAGGTCTAATTTGCCGATAACTTATCTAACAGGCAGGCAGGCAGTCTCTGGATGGCAGCCTCATGCTTTCATCACTGAAGTTACATTCTCAATGCGTGCCTATATGCTGGTAGGTGTGAAAACATTCCGACACACACCAATAGGCATAAATACCTCCTATTATATGCATACCCCAATTAACACTGACACAATGATATTGCATTGTTTTCATCAGAAAAATAACCAGTGTGGTTGAGTTCCAAAGCCACATGGTACGGCACATTTGCCGTATCTTCCACGGGGTCAATTTGAATAGCATTGACGTCGACGGTCAAAATCCTAATTGTGCCAAACATGAGCAGAGCCGCCTGGTGGTCGTTAAAGACATGGCTTTGGAGAAAAAAAAAACGCCGTCAGCACTGCAGCTGATGCCGCCACTGGCCCCGATCGGCGGCGGCGCCAGCTGTTGCGGCGTCAAGCACAGTCAGTCAGAGCTGAGGGAGCTCCTCTGGAAGGCGCCGCGCGCCAGCCGCCGCCGCCAGCCGCTCACCTGCTTGGTCTGCGGCATGTCTGTGATGACGCCGTCGGTGATGATGAGCAGAATGAAGTACTGCGAGCCGTCACGGTACTGCCGCGCGAAGTTAGCCACGTGGTTGATGACGGGTGCGAAGTTGGTGGGGCCGTACAGCTGGATCTGTGGCAGGCACTTCTGGTAGGCGGCCACCACCCCTGCCGGGGCGGAGGGCCCCCACCGCATCAGACATGCGCGCTGCACACCGCAGAGGTCGTGCCAGCAGTGCCACAGCGCAAGACACTGCCGCACACTGCAGCGCGTGCTCAGGACCAGAGCGTATCCGCACAAAGACAATTCCACTCGCGCACAGTGTTAGGTGCACATTATACACAGTGCTACATTCGCACAGTTAGTTCTCATGACGTGCAGCACCCTACATCCTGCACCTCATCCACATGCACAGCGCAGTGTACTTCATGCGAATGTGCACGTTCATGTGTACATGTGAGTGCTCATGAGTACACGCGTCTCGGGCGATGGACAAGCCGGAGCAATGACATCCGAAAGTGGAGAGATGTCCGCTTCTTTTCGATTCACCCCATATTTTGCGCCCGTCTCGAAACATCATTGCATCTACGTACGAACGGCCACCGGCACAGCACATACAATCAGCGCTAAACAAGGTTAAAGCGGGTCTTAAACTGGGTTCATGTTGGGTTGTTAAATTTGGTTCTCAGTTGGCAACAGAGCGCCAACTTCTGTGTAAATCATCCACATAACTGGCACCGACTAATAAAGCAATAAGCGTGCTTTACCAACAGTAAACCGGTGCGAATCAATACGGCTTGGTTACAAATCCAGCCTTGTGCCAGACTACATAATTAACACCAGTGCGGTGAAGCTTAAATCCAATTTCGCGGGCCGGGCTGACATCGCTGAGGCCCATTCACCCCAATCCTTTGACAAAGAATTAGACCATTGCGTCGAAGCCCCGAGCCTCGCAGAAGTCCCCCCCCCCCCATGCGGTCATTCCACAACGCGGTCAATATTGAACGAAAACGGATCCTGCGGTGAAAATAAGCATTCGCGGAAATTATATGAGAACCAGTCCTTTATCCACCCGCGAATAGCCGGTATGGCAAAGCGCAAATAAAACTTTCGCCCTCATTAAATCGCACTGTGCAAGCACAAAGACGAAAACATAATTAGCTCTACGGTTGCTCCCACTCATCGCAAACTTTAACATCAGCACCACTTCAAACTGAGGTAATATCGGCCCATACGCTCCCACAAGGCGACTTAAAAACGTCGAGGCTGCAGTTTCGCTTCATCTATGAAACCCGCTAGCGCACGTTAGCATTAGCTAACATTAGCTAATGCTAATATATATAGCTAATATATATATATACATATATATATATATATATATATATAGCTATAATAATATATAGCTAATATAACACGCCCTCCACAATAGCAGTTCCGGCGTGGGTCTCCCTCGGTCGCACCGGCGTGGGTCTCCCTCGGTCCCTCAGGCGCGGGTTCCCCTCGGTCCCTCCGGCGCGGGTCTCCCTCGGTCCCTCCGGCGCGGGCCTCCCTCGGTCCCTCCGGCGCGGGTCACCCTCGGTCCCTCCGGCGCGGGTCTCCCTCGGTCCCTCCGGCGCGGGTCTCCCTCGGTCCCTCCGGCGCGGCAGGCAGGTGGTTGGTACCTTCCACGGCGTAGCAGAAGGGGTCGGCCGCGCCCAGGTTGACGTAGAACTCGTGGTTGACCACGCCGTTGGGCGGCACGCGCGCGCCGAAGCCCAGCACCGGGAACTGCTTGTCGCTGTCGTAGTCCTGGATGATCTGGCCCACGGCCCGCAGCGCCGTGACGTACGGGTTACGCAGCTGGCCCGTGGCGTCCCGGCCCAGGTAATGCAGCGAGTCGGGCGACATCGGATTACCGTTGGACGCTGTGGCCGGGAACGGGTCGCAGGTCAAGCGCGCGCCACACAGCCGGCCCCCTCAGATTTTTGGCACAGCGGTCAGAGGGATAGCGTAAACGGGCTGAAAACGGGAACAGATCGGCTCGCTAGAGCCGGCTGGAGGAGAGCAAATATGATTGCTCTCGTTAAGTGTTAAGAATGCTGCACAGCCGGCTGGGACACCTTAACCAAAGCGCTAAAAAGGACAGGAACAACATAAAATGTCAGCGGGGACGAGCACACGTAAAAGCCCGCCCTCTGGAGTAAGGGGACACCGGCCGGGCCAGAAGCTGTACCACTGGGTCACGGGATAGGATCTGTAACGCTGGGTCGGGGACAGGAGCCGTATCCCTGAGTCAAGGGACAGGTGCCGTACCCCTGGGTCAGGGGACACGAACCGTACCGGTGAGTCAGGGGACACGAGCCGTGCCGGTGAGTCAGGGGACAGGTGCCGTACCCCTGGGTCACTGGACACGTGCTGTAACCCTGGGTCAGGAGACAAGAACCGTAACGCTGGATCAGGGGACATGAGCCGTACCGCTGAATCACGGGACAGGAGCCGTACCACTGGGTCAGGGACAGGAGTCGCACCGCTGGGTCAGGAGACGTGCTGTACCGCTGGATCAGGGGACAGGAGCCGTACTGCTGGGTCAGGGGACAGGTGATGTACCCCTGGGTCAGGGGACAGGAGCCGTACCGGTGAGTCAGGGGACACAAGCCGTACCACTGGATCAGTGGACAGGAGCCGTACCACTGAGTCAAGAGACAGGTGCCGTACCCCTAGGTCAGGGGACACGAGCCGTACCGGTGAGTCAGGGGACACGAGCCGTACCGCCGGATCAGTGGACAGGAGCCGTACCACTGAGTCAGGGGACAGGAGCCGTACCGGTGAAGTCGATTGCGATGGTGCAGGCCAGCTCGGTGCCGCCCTGAATGTAGTCCAGGAACGTGTGCTGAGTGCGGATCTCCAGATTCTGCAGGAATATCTGGCCAGAGTTCTGGTACGAACTGCCCTTACGCGCCTGTAACCAACAAGACGTCTTATCAAGGTGCAGCAGCGACCTAGGCCAATGCCAAGGCTTCAGTGACATCAGGTGTACCTTCCAGAGTCAATGTCTTGCGATCATGAGCTCTCAGTCGTAACAGTCCACGACTGTTACGACCGATAGCTCGATTTTTCCAGCTCACGGGTTAGGCTGGTGTTATACGCACCAGTTATCTGACGGACCGCGGTAACGGTATTATAACAACTGTCACCCGCACTGGAGTCGCCGGTCGGACGATGGATTAAACGTGCACACCCCATCTATACAGACAAGAAACCGCTACAAGGCTATTACATCTCGTGCCAAGTGGATGCACCATTTCGTACCACTGCGGGACGTTCTCAAATGCGCCCGCGATCGTGCAAGTACTTCTAGCAGCAGCTAGAGTGATCGCTTTCAAGCCTTAACGAAAATACGAACTCCTCGTCCCCGGGAACGCACCGGGGAAGACCCAAGACACACTGATGTGTGAACTGAATATCAATGCCTCTACATCAAAGTTAACAGCCTGCAGCCCAAACATGCGGGTAAAGCACTCCATTGGACGCCATCAAACTCGTTAATGCGGTCCCAACTGCAACCTCAGGACCAGGATGCAACTAACTTTGGCTTTACAGGCGCCAGCCAACCGATCCCATCTGCGGTGGCAAAGGTCGTGGCTGCTATTGAAACTCACACACTGTTCAAGGTCGCGCAACTTCACGCCGTATCAGAGGGTGAAGACAGGTGGCCGAGCGGTTCGGTTCGTTGGAGGCCTCTGCCAGCCAACAGATAAAGCCACACGTCACCGCCACAAAAACCGGCACGGCGCAACTTCACGCCGAATCAGAGGGTGAAGGCCGGTGGCCGAGCGGCTCGGTTCGTTAGCGGCCTCTGCCAGCCAACAGACAAAGCCAGACGTCACCGCCACAAAAACCGGCACGGCGCAACTTGACGCCGAATCAGAGGGTGAAGGCCGGTGGCCGAGCGGTTCGGTTCGTTAGCGGCCTCTGCCAGCCTGCAGACAAATCCAGACGTCACTGCCACACAAAACGGCGAGCTCGCCGGGGCTCACAAGTTATTTTAATGGGCGCACCCGAGCCAGAGGACACAGGGCGTCACCTCGTCATAACACCTCGTTATGTTTTCCGTATAAGCGCATCGTTCCGAGCTTTCCAGACAACTTTGAACGCGTCGCTGTCGAAGCTGGAGGCAGCTTCAGCGCCCAGAAGTCCCACCCGACACTGTCAGTCCGCACTCATGGTTTCTAGTGGAAAATCAGCCGCAAAGGAAACAATCAAATTCGGTAATGGAGAAACGCGACCGGTAAGCTTGATGATGTTCAAAGCAGCGTGCTGTAACTGCACGTGTTGGGCTAAAAAAAAAATCAGCAAAACTGCATTTTCGGACACCCCTAAGCCAAAAAGCACACATAACTGGAAACAGTCTCTCATCACATCGATGGTGGTCCCCAAAGAATCCCACGTGTCTTGTTGTTTTGCCTGTTATAACAAACACAGCGTTTTGCCGTAATTTGCGACGCTAACTGATGTTAACTGACACAGTTAACAGTGCGGCGACATCAGCCAATCCTTATCCTTTAAGGGTGCTCATGATGAGTGAGAACAACATACAATTACGCAGCGTGTCCTAGACATGGCCATGACCTTTGGTGTCAAAAGACGCTGGTCGCACTACAATTTTGCAAATGAATCTATTCGATCCGTCGTGTTATCCTGTAGGCATCAGACGCGTCAGACAGGTCCACTGACCGGGCGCCGGTAAGCGGGTCAAAGCCGCACGTCTGGGAAACCAGAGGTCGAGGGTTCACTTCCCTGCAGTGCCCGCCCTTTCTGTCAGCGCGACACTCTGCGTCGTGACCTTACTACAACGTAGCGCCAGCCACCGAACATTTTTTTTTATGCCGTACTGCTAGTGCCAACAGCGAAACATAAACACAGAAGATCGAGTAGAGCCGATCAACTTCAAAACAAACAGGCAAAAAGGCGGTCTACAGGGATGACAAAGCGCTTATTCGTAGAGCCCACTAACAGCCTGACAACGCCAATCACCATTCTGCACCAATGGCCAATAAACTGCAACAGACGAGCTCACACTTCCACTTGCAAGATCTCGCACAAACTGTCCACGCATTGCCCTTGACCAGTCCACATGGTTGGAATCCACAGTTGCTTCGGGACGCCCATGCCCGGCACGACCCACGAGCTCGCGGTCGCGAGGCGAGGCGTTGAAGCCGCCGGCACTCACCTGCTTCTCTTTGTTGATGCAGGGGAAGGCGGCGCCCCTGCCCGCCTGCTTCAGCTCGTTCAGCGTGAAGAAGCACTCGCCGATGAGGTCGGGCGTGCCGTTCGAGTTCCAGTCCCAGCAGACAGCGCGCACGCTGCGGTGGTAGTCGCCGTTGCAGAGCGAGGCCACGGACACCTCCAGCGGCCGCCAGTCGGGGTTCAGCGTGCGCTTCACCACCTCTGTCCGACACACCAGCACCCACTGGCCCTCCTCCGTGCTCTTGAACAGCTCCAGGTACGGGTCGGACTTGCCCCACAGCCAGTCCTTCTTGTCGAGCTTGCGGCCGGCGAACTGCAGCACGGCCAGCTCCTTGCTGGCCAGCAGCTCCTCGGCGTGCACGAGCAGCGTGCCGCGGCTGCCGGCCGGGCCGCCCTGCAGCGCCAGCTCCGAGACGCGGCTGCTGACCAGCTCGCCCAGCGTGCACTCGCGCCGTCCCAGGAAGTCGTGCTCCGCCAGCCGCGCCGAGCCAGAGTCCACGTCGTACACGTCAAACCTGCAGCCGCGGGGGCAGGGGTCACGGGACGCACACAGGGCTACCACGGTCACGGACGTGCCGGCGACGGAGGTCACCGAGCTCGGGTCGCACGGCACCGGGGGGACCAGAACGTCTCGCGAACGGGCGAACCAGATCAGCAGCAACATTAATTCGTGAGACGTGAGACAATGCGCTCCGAATTAGCATAAATCAATTGCTTGTAAGCCGTGAACGCCGTAACAAGACATACAGCACGATTGTCCAGTGGAAATGCCACATGCAACAGGCACGGGCTCAGTAGACTCGTGACTAAAAACAAAACAAAAACAAAGCACAACAAAAACAGACGGATACGGTGCGTGTCGGACATTATTCATATCGGCGTGGATATCTCCAGATGCTTCAGATGACTGGCGGATCGGGGCGGTAGCTATCGAGCAAAACGATCGTGAAACGAACGCCTTCCACGGCTAGACGAAGAAAAATGAGCGTTTGCTAGGCGCACGCAGATTCGTGCAACAGGCCTACAGCAGAGCACAGCGTGTGCCGGCCGGCTTTGAGAGCTTCAGCTGCTTGTTAAATGCGAGGCATACAGCAAATGGCCTATGCAAGATGAGAACTTCGGCAATCTTTGGCGTTTGCATGGTGCCAACCATTTTCGACAGATCTTTCGTAATATAAAACGTATCTTTACAGTGTTTTTAGTATATTCCTTTAGCAGAGCTGGAAAGTTTCTTAGAATCGTGATTTTGTAACGTCCAGCTTACCGTACGTAGATAATAATTTCCTGTGCAGCATCTATCATTAGTATCTTTCATACATTTACTCCAATACAACGGACGCAAACACCTGATATCCCACCTCACCCAAAACTTCACTTGATATCCAACCTCGCCCAAAACTTCACTTGATACCGACCTCATCAAAAACTTCACTTGATACCCCACCTAAGCCAAAACCTCACTCCTGGATCCCTGAGTCGCGTCCGCGTAACGTTCTGAAAAGAATGGTCGCGCACTTTATCCGGCCTCGAATCCAGATGTTTTTTTACTCAACTGAACTTTGGGCATATTCCTCCACCACCGTACCAGCGAGCGCTTTCCAAGCACACCATCCTATCCTGTGCAGTGAATTCATCAGCGGAAGAGCACAACGGCGTCTCATGAGGAACGATTATCCCCATCAAACATGTTATGCAAACCTCCTCAGAGCAGCAAGCCCCCACTCCGATCTGTGTGGGAAGCCTGTTTGTGGATGGTCTAGTTCTTTGTCCACCGCCTGACGTTGTGTGACAAAAACGCACAGCTTCGTGACAGCGACACGCTGCCATTATGTATCCACAGAAACAAAACGATACCTCCGGTTTTTGCGTTGACCGTGGGCTAACCGACAGGCCGGCCTTCGCCACGGCGCAACGAGCGGGCACTTTCCATTCCCCCGGGTCATTAAAAAACCCAGCGCACGAACTCAAGTGCTGATTGGCTCCGGTAAGCCAGCATCAGGAGAGTGCTTCATCAGATGAAACGAGATTGCGCAGCCGTCCGATTGATTGGGACTCTGCGGATTAACGTCACCGGAGCACCGACGTCACCTGCCGCACGGCACCCACGCCGGTCACATTCCACTTGTTTCTGCGACCGCCGGCAACTCATCGATCCTGGCCACTGTGCGTGACATTCAAGCCTAACCCACGCAGGGTGCAGGTGCACGATCTGGCCGGCGGGCATCGCGGGCGGAGCAGCGCGAGCGGCAGCGTGCCCACCGGCACTAATCACGGGGAGTGCGGTGACATGCAGGGCGGCGCATCCAGCCTCACGAGCTGCCGCCAGGCCGGGGCAGGCGGGCTCGGCCTCCGCGCACGCCGGGGCTCGGAGACGACCGCGAGCACGGAGCTACCGGCCGAAATTCGGCAGGGGCGACTCAAGGTGCTCCTCACAATCCATCTAGAACGTGTCTTTATATCTTCAATTTCCTGCACGTGGCATAGAGAAGTCAATTACTTCATATGAGTACATTAGACCCAGTTGCTGATTCCCTTAGGACGTGGTCTTTACAAGTTAGGAAAATAGACTCGTTTGGTTGCCAGTGTTTATCTTGCACGGCATTTCTCACCTATCTTACGGAGGCCTTTGTACATGTGTTCGTTTCTACGCCTGTATCTGTAGAAGGGTTTCTGAGTTTTCCACGCTTTCAGGCAAGAAAAAACATAAAGGAAACATGTTAAACCCCAGCCACACCAGCTACTCATAAGCTTCCCATTTCAACAACCCAAGACCTAAACAGGATCATATCATTCGGAAAAAGACCCACAAGCAAGTCAGATCACGCTTGGCCAACATATGAACTCTTCAGGTCGGACCGCGTACTGACCGGTCACGGCAGCGGCGGGTTCCGCACCGCCCCCTCCCCCCCCCCTCCGCCACCGGGCGGGGGGCTGGGGCGCCGGGTCCTGACGGCACACAGCGCCTCACCACGCCGTCCTCACCTGAGGTACTGCTGCTCCTCGAAGTGGTAGGCGATGGGCACCTTGGTGGCGAAGTCCGGGTTGAGGTTGTCCGCGACCACCTCGGTGCGCTTGTACTCGGTCCAGTGTTTGTCGCGGCCGGCCGAGCCGAACGGCGCCAGCGACACGACCACCATCGGGTCCGACTTGGAGAACACGTCCATGTCGGCCAGGTTGCTGCGGCGCGAGCCCACACGGCCGGTCAGGAGGTGACGGCGGCGGCCACCGACCGCGCCACAGCGCGCGGACGGCTGCCCGTGTGCCCGACTCGGCACAGTGAGGGAGGGCACGGAGACTCGCTCCGCGGGGCGGGGGAGGCGCCGGCCCGTTCGCCCGGCGGATCCACGGGACCGGAAAACAGCGTATGTCAGGAGGTGCGTGGAGATAGGTGCAGTGAGGAGATCTAGGTTGATGACACAACCTCCACCACAGGACGGGAGGGGGGGGGGACACCTTAACAGAATTCAACATTACGCCTGCCAGCGTTGGAAGAAAAGAAATGTCATACGAAACTCGACTTCACCGCAGACGTTAACTTATGGCGGATCCCCCGCTAGAAAGGGAAGAGTGCATGGAAGTACACACGGATTAAGCATTCAGCATGGACAGGTACACGGGCAGGAGCGCACGAGCATAACCACCAAACGGGCCCAACGCTCATCAGCAAGCGCCACATCTACACGGATGGAGCTGGGTCTGGTGACGCACTGTCTGTGAAGGCCTGGGTTTTTTTTGACGACTGGAAAACCCTTGCGCGTGAAGCTTTCCCTGATTACTTCAGCTGCGAAACACAGCCCCGTGACATCACGTGGCAGCTAGATAATCTCAAGTTGAGTCTCATCTGGGCCAATGATTAAGACGTCTGTCTGACTGCAGAGGATCAAGGTACAGGAGACGACGCTGCATATCAAAGGAGATATCCCATCTAGATGCCACACGGTCACACAAGGTCGTCCTTCGCCGCTGTGTGAGGAGCAAACAATCAATGACTACCAGCAACTTGAATACACATCATCACATCATTTCAATATTTCTTTCCAGAGCTGACTGCGACCGTTTCAACGCGACTGATCACGATCATACGCGCGCTGCTCGCGGGTGTCACGCTAGCTATAACTGGCACCACCTGTCGAGTTGAGCAATCGATAATGCACCAGCCACCATTAATTTCTCGCCGTTTTGAACGTAACGACGGGTTACATTCACCCTGGTGCACGCCGTGCTTATTATCCCTACAGTGACAACAACTTAAGTACACGTCTGTTTTCTCTGCCAAATTGGCTCTCATTTGTAAACGGATGGAAAATAGATTGGTTATTTGGCACACGCACGACAGCCAGCTGTCCGGCTCACGTATTGATGCCACATTGCACGGGGCACCGACTCAGCCGGTCAGCACTGGCGTCTTTACAGATGCCTGGCCTGCTTTTGATGGGGACGGAGGGGAAAAGTAGATAATAGTGCATGCTCGTAACAGAGTTGCGGCAACCATTCTTGGTGGGATGAGCCCAGTGATTGTTTGCGGGCATCCGAATATCAAGTGAGCTCATCGCCGACTTTGCTACAAGTGAGGCGACCTAAGCCACTGTCATGCCTTCAGGAGTTATCTGGTGTCGACCGAAGGGTACGGTTGCCGCTTGGGGTCATTCCCGTCTCGACGAGTAAAACGGGCGGTTGACTAGTGCGCTGGCAGCCAGGTTTTTCAGGTCTACCAAAATCACTTCACACTTCCGACAAATGTTCGAAGCTAAAACCGAGGTCACAAATCACCACAGGCAATACTTGGCAAGGAACACGAATACCGCGCCTTAAAAGTATCGAGAAAATTCGACCAAAAATAACGACCCAGATGTAGTCACATAAGTCATGTTTCAGCTACGATCAACTAGCAGGTCTCTCCTAATGCGATGGCGTCAAGCCACCGTCACACCGGATGCAAACGACGGAACTCGCTTGTGTGAAAATTTGAGTTATCTCTGCATCAGTCATGACATGGATCACTCAGGCACCAAGCAGGTAATACGATGCAAATCGTCAAAATCGTCTCGTGTTGGCATCCAGGAACCCTAAAGCGACGGCCCTCTAAAAATCACAAATGATCAAGCAGATGCATGGGCAGCATGTAATGAGCCAACTGGTAAGCCAACTGTGGGAACGTTGATAACTTCCCTCCCAAATGGCATGTCAAACGCTCAGTACTTAATGGGAACGTTTTGAGGAGTTTGTGTTAATACCATACACTGGAGGAGTGAAACGACACCTGTTCTTTTAAGCGGACTGATAGGCCTGATACACCTGTGCAGGGTATCTTGCATAATATGCCAACGACACCTCACCGGTCACAAACGTTGACCAACTGGCAGGACAAAACAGAATGACACACAGTTTTACCTGACAGTTTTAACTGACAGACTGTGCGAAATAGCCTGGTGCAGTAACGTTTCGAAAGATACATCAAGAATAGTGCTGGTGGTTGACAATACTGTCACATCAATAGTCAGCTGCTTCTGCACTTTCTTTCAATAACTGAATGGTTCAATCACGTTCGTTTTGATTCTTTGCATCAGCTACACACCTATCTCAGGCGAATCTGCCACAACAGCAAAATAGCAGAAGTCGTGCTGTTTAGCTACGGCGCATACGGTTTGCGGTCGCACGATACCAATGTCCCAGTAATCAGCTGTATCGTGCTTGCAGTGGCAATCAACATTGCACGCCATGCAATGGAAGCAATGCAATCATTATCTCACCTAATTATGGCTAGCCTCACGCCAGTTTGGTCTCAATGCAATTGGTTAGCAATGCAATCATTATCTCACCTAATTATGGCTAGCCTCAAGCCAGCTTGGTTTCAATTGCCTCCTCATTGAACAAAAGCGGTCGATTTCTGCACAGACCGCATCCCAACATGACTCGAATCACAATAATCACACCATCCCAAACATCCTTGCTTCTTACGCGTCGCTCACAACCCGGATGTCAGCCACCAGTTTCCCCCACGCGTTGTTGGGACCAGACGGCACCGCAGTCGCCAAGGTGACCCAAACGGCGCGGGCAGCCGCCGGGCCGCGCCGCCACGTACCGGCATGAGAGAGTGAGCTCCACCTGCATCACGGGCACGGCCGCCGTGCCCCCCGCGAACGTGTTCGTCATGGCGAACACGGGCGACGCTCGCACGGCGCGGCGGGTGTTAAAGACGGCAGCCGGTCACGCCCTCCAGGCGCCGCTGGTGAGGCGCCACGTCAGCTGGTGACGCAGGTTCGCGGCGGGATCGGGGACGCGTCCCTGTTTGCTCGGCTGACCTGCTACTGCTCCGCCCAGAATGTCATCTGTGAAACAAGAACCGAAGTGCGAACAAGAGCGCAATGAATTCGGGCCACCCAGTGCCCCAGTCGTATCCCAGTATCCTGGGCATGCTTCACCGGCCGCAGCGGAACAATCGCCACGAGCCTCTGCAAAGTGCAATGGTCCTGACACACTAGTGAAATGCCTCACAAGGAATCTGCTGAGTGTTGGGTATACAAATCACCAAATTGTTATCATTGGATGTGCACCAGTAAATTGCAACATACATCTGATTTCAGGTAACTTGTTTTTTACACAGGACATTCTGGTGAGGGCTTTAACAAATACAACCACCAAAATGTTATTTACATCACAAAGTTCATGGGAAAAGGCAACTCATAATTAAGTGCCAAAAATCATTGCAACATAATCTACTACTGTCACTGGAGACACATTTGCCTTCCATCTAAAACCCCTTGCTGTTGTAAAACTAGCAAAACAAGTAAACAATTTGATATAGCATTAAAGAGCACATTCACATCCAATTGATGCATACTCTCAGAAGTTGAACTATGGCCAACAGTGTTAATGAAATGGAGAAAGTGATGAACACTGTTATAATAATAGCCCATGTGTATCATTCCTTCCCCACCAATGAAGAAATGCACGAAGTAGAAAATAAATAATGATAGAAGTAAATATTATCTTTTGGGTAGAAAATGACCATAACATTGTCCTGAAATGCATGATCCAATTCTCACTCAGTTAATTACCAAAATGAACCAAATAACCATACCTTAAAACACTATCTTAAGAAACAAGTTGAAGGAATACACAGTCTTGGTCTATTTTCCAAGAAATTGAAAGCAGAAGAGAGAGTACAAATATGGTTATATTTTGATGATCCAGGCAGAAGGAAACACCTGAACAAAGGGCATACCCAGGTATCTCTCAAAGGTGAGAGTGAGGTACAGAAAGCACAGATTTCCATCCTACTGTCTTCAAATCAGGCACATCCAAGGTACCCCACATCATTTAGTTGCATGTGCTTCATTAAAAGGCATATGACCCACATTGTCATTATCTCTGAAACAAAATGTGGGGTACAAAGAAAATGAAAATATTACTATATTCTGAGTTTTTCCTTAGAACTTGACTAGATGGCCATACATTAGTATTTCCAATATAATGACATATGTCAAGGAATTTTTAATGGACACTTCTTAAGTGCCAACATGTGGCCTTTCAATCCCAACAAATAATAAAAACCATGTTTTAAGCTGATGCATCTAGGGTCAGCTTTCATACAATGAACTACAACAATGCTACAAGTATCTCAGCATTATGTGCACTTCAGGGCACACAGGACTAGCACGACCATTCAGGTATTGTAGCATCATAACAAAACTCCTGGCAAGCATGGCATGTATACATCACAGCATACTTCATTCTACACAGTTCACTTAAAACCAGGTTTTGGTGAGCCCAATTCATTCCATGCAAACCTGTATATAACATCTTTTGGCCATGGACACTCATCTAAACAAGCATGGCTTACCTTTAACAAGGGGGCAAATTTCGCTTTATTAACATGAGGGTACCTAACATGACGGTTGATGTTCACCAAAACGCACTACCACGTCACCAAGCCTAACTTACCCGCAGCTCAAAGGGCAAATCTTTGATTTATGAACGTGAGGGCAATTCACGTCATGTCAATGTTCGTCAATATGCACTATCGTTGCGACTATTTCTCATTTAATCACGGTGTACTTGACATTTGCACACTCCACTCCTTGGGAATCAGGATAGCTCGCACATGACGCAACATAGACACTAAATGATTTACTCTGAACGGTGTTTCCCCGTGGATGATTAAGTAAAAATCACATGATTCATCTCACGTTCTGTGATTGCCTACGCGCTGTTCTCGTAGCATATGCGCTACATTCAGTTTTAAGAAGTGCGGAACAAAGCAGCTAAATCAAGATTTAGCAACCTATTTGCTCCTGGAATGAAATCTGCCGTGTTTTCAACAAAGCCGCGCAAGTTATGTTAACAAGTGCCTACGGTATCAAAGCTATGGCTAAGCACAGGTTTTCAAATGAACATTATACCTGTATAAGAAGAGCTATGTTAGAAATCATCGGGAAAAACAGTCCACCACGGTTTGGTGGAGAACAAAATGGGCCGTAGCAACAGGTAGAGATACCTGGAAAATTCGCGGACACCATGCATTTGATGACATGTTTATCCTTTTAGTGCTTAAAACCCAAAAAGGCTCCTTACCCACCGTCGTAGCCACGCCTAAAATATTGCTGGGGTGCATCTCTATTCGGATACAATTTGATGTGGTTAGGATCTTCCTCCACAAATCCTCTGGTGAAATGGCTAATTAGCACTTTCATATCTCAGATTTCGGTGAAAATGCATCTATAAACATTTTTTAATGCGTTGAAACAAGCTGTGAAATTTTCAGCTCGATAGAAGCAACGACCACTGGGTTCTAGCCTCAGGCATTCTTTTTTGGTCACTGCATGCACGTCTTGGTTGACTGATGGCCCACGTGTAAGCAATTAAAAGGACACAAAATTGGATATCGTTGAGCTTGCAGTGATGTAAATAATCGCTTACATGTCTAGTATTTCCTTTTCAAATTTGAACTCGTGACCTCGTGGCCTTAAATTACGTGACGTTGGTGACTACGTGATTAAACATTTGAGTATAAACATTTATCGGATAGTTTGTGTTAACAATGCACCTTAGATTTTTTGTGAGGCCCGGAATGCAAACTTGCAACTCCGGGACCAAACGGGCCAGAAAGGCAAACACCATACTAGTATCGTGCTTCGTCGCGTGCGATAGAAAGCAGAAACTTTGGTGCCACTTGTCGTCACCCTCTCTCCAACACGCAACATAATGATGTGCGCTGCATTGTGCAACGTCCCAACGAAAGCGTCGGGCTTCATCCTGAACAACAAAGAATGTTTTTAGAGAAATCTCCTACCACCACCACCTCACATGGTGGAGCGTTATTTTTCATTTCACTGAAAGCATGAGTTTGGTTGTCAGACATGCAGTGACGTTTCGTCAGTCTAAGTCCTTGCTCGAAGTGAGCAGGAAGTCGTCCCAAATTTCAATGACTGCAGTCAATATACATCAGTCAGAGCTAATCCATTGCTTGGTGCGAATTTCGCGGTAGATGGCAGCACTTTCAAAAGCCGTCACGCTGTTCTCTCCAAGACAGTCTTCACGCTTTTGTATCATACACTTCTTGTTGTGCGTGCTGCATGCTTCATGGTCCATGAGGTCGCGATGTGCGAGGTCTTTTAAACCAAGAGACTCTGCCTTGATTTTGATGTTTTGGTGATATGCACGAACACACCCGCTGTGCCTGCTGCTGCCACCAGCAAGCACGCGGTGCTAAGGTTGCGCAGATGTGGAAAATCGTACTCGTAGTTAGGTCGCAGTTGCGTGAATGCGGGAAGTCCTAGTCAGGGTTTTCTGGATCGCCCTTTTACATCTGATATATTTATCTTAATTTTCACATGATTCAATGCCTCCGAATTTTACATTTGATTTCGTCAACGTTTATGACGTGTACATAACCTTTTGAGCCTGGGCACATCCTACCCACTTCATCTGACTCAAAGATCCGTACATCCCTACGTTCAACTTGATCACTTACACATTTTCCTCTGCTCATCCTACCCACCTGGGGAAGTACGATAATCCCCTGCTTATGTTTCGATTTTTATTTACCATGCACTTGCTAGTTTCATAGAACGCCGCTGCTCGTCCGACAGGATACGGCGACAGTGGTAGGATATGCAGTCGGCTCAGGTAATCGTCGTTCCTATTGGACTCTGCCATCAACTCGTAGATGGGTTGATCATACCTAGGACTGACGTAAACTTTCGCCAATGGGCATGACAAGTGAGTGTAATGCATGGACTTACGTTTACGTTTGCAATTCGTTAGAGTCTCACCTTTCATTTGAGTTGCCTAGATGATCATTACCTTACCTACTATTACCATTACCTACCATGGCGTGTTGCGAAGAATTGAAATATATCCTCTAGCTTACATCACCTTTCTTGTTTTACTGAGACATGGTTGCATTCAAAATAAATTAAGAACAAGCCCTGCTGAATCGTTATCCTCTGCTTGTCTTTACCTCCTTGCGAGAGGGCACCTGACGTTGGGATGTCTGTACCTAACGATTGAGAAAGTTTCCGCTCCAACGAATACAATGCTTTTAAAAGCTTGTTAGTTCCTTTGGCTCGTTTTTGAGACGCAGACAATCCTTCCGTGAAACGAACAATCGGAAATCAAATTAAACCGGCATAACAGGGCATAACAAAACCTGTTGCCTTCATGGAAGCAGCCTCTTTGACCACTCGGTGGCAAGCTAAGCTAGATGGAAGACGAGCAGGGCACATATTCTCCATGCTCTACCCGAAGCGTTTGAGCATTGTACACTTTGCTAAAACATAATTTAGAAGGATATGACATCTTAACTTCCATTTGCTTTGAGCCATGGTGCAGCAGTGCCATGGCCCGCGGAAATCTGCGATAAAAATTATAGTGCCATGCCATGCAGCCATTTATTTGCGTGATGTAAATATGCAGCTAAAAACCTAACGCACAGCTGGAGAAGAACTTGCTTGACCGCACGGGCGTTTAACCCAGACATTGCAAAACATTCCTGACGGCACCAGTCGTCTCAAAGTTAGCATCAAAGTCAGTCAGGCTTCCCCAGTTGGAGCGGAATGGAAGGCCCCGTTTCATAATGGGACCGCTGACTGATACTGGGCTCATCTAATGTCTCATTGTGAACTCTTTCATTGACATTTGCAAAGTCTCCTTTTGTTGTCGGTGGACTCTGCGACCAGCGCAAGGGGTCCTCCGATGTTTGGGAGGTATATCCGTATAGCCGATATAGGGAGGAAATCCGTCACTGTCTCTACTCAGGATATATGGCTCTATCCGACTGGAGGACCCTTGCAAACAATGGCACAGAATACTCTATGAGACGCTGTGAGCCCTGACCAATGCCCAATAAGACGGCCCCTGCGCACCTCGTGGCACGGCCCCCAAGCCACATTACGGGCAAACGATTACGTCACGGGGTCACGTGACCTAGCGGTCAAACCGCCGGATGACCATGCATGGTATACAATGCCTTGGGTGTACCTTTTGTCTGAATCAGACTTTGTGATGCCCGAACAGTTAGCCGTGAATTACGGGTGTGATCTGTCATGTGGGTGCTATCATGTTCGGAGTAAAAGCATACAATATCGCAGTTTAGTGGCATGTGGATCGCGTCGCTCATAACCAACCTTTCACCTTTTGTTTGCATCCAAATATTTACCTTCGTTTCGCATCGAGTGATAAGTTGTCTCGAAAATTGTACTTATCGTTGGAATTGGACTGGAGCAACGTGTGTGTGTGTGTTTTTTAGATTGTCAGCATTTCATCTCGACTGTACCAGCATTCTATTTTAGTGCCGCCCCCAAGCGTCGATACCAGAGCGTCAGCAGCGGACCGTCGAGACCACAGCGGCAGTGAGCCGTCGAGACCACAGCACCCTGGCACCCTGGCAAAGTACAATTTTCGCGAAGGCCCACTGCCGCCGCGGCAGTGGACCGTCGAGACCGCAGCGGCAGTGGACCGTCGAGACCACAGCGGCAGTGGACCGTCGAGACCACAGCGGCAGTGGACCGTCGAGACCGCAAACGGCAGTGGACCATCTAGACCGCAGTGGCAGTGGACCGTCGAGACCACAGCGTCGGCACTGGACCGTCGAGACCACAACTTCGGCAGTGGATCGTCGAGACCGCAGTGGCAGTGGACCGTCAAGACCGCAGCGGCAGTGGACCGTCAAGACCGCAGCGGCAGTGGACCGTCAAGACCGCAGAGGCAGTGGACCGTCGAGACCGCAGAGGCAGTGGACCGTCAAGACCGCAGCGGCAGTGGACCGTCAAGACCGCAGCGGCAGTGGACCGTCAAGACCGCAGCGGCAGTGGACCGTCAAGACCGCAGCGGCAGTGGACCGTCAAGACCGCAGTGGCAGTGGACCGTCGAGACCGCAGCGGCAGTGGACCGTCAAGACCGCAGCGGCAGTGGACTGTCGAGACCGCAGCGGCAGTGGACCATCTAGACCGCAGCGGCGGTGGTTAGCAGAGCCGCCGGCGCTCCGAGCCCGGAAAGGCGCTAGCCGACCGGCGACAGCCCGCTCCGACGTCAGGACGGCCCAGGATGTGACGTCGGCGACGGCACCGGCCAGACATCGTCGGATCCGGCCGGAAATAAGAGGCGTCTCGTCGCGCCGCTCCGGCCCGGCCGGGGTCCCCTGTGGCCACCACGAACACACCGGCGGAGCGCGGGCGGCGGCTCGTGCCTGCCTTCCGGCGCGGCTGCCGGCAGTGGAGTCACGTGCATCGCCGGTGGGCGGCGCTCGCGGTCACGTGTCGGTGGGTGGACAGAGTGACATTTCGCTGAACTCTCTGTCGGCGACGCAGTCCGGGTCGTCCGGGTCGGGCGTCCCGTTCTCGTGCGCTGCACTGGACCGCGGCCGCATTGACCCGACACCGCGGCTCGAGGGACGGTCCGGGGGGTGTTGCCGCCCTCGCTCCCGGCACGCCGACAGCCGTTTGCACGTGCATGCATCGCAAACGAGCGTTGTGAGGCGCCGCGGTCTGGATTAGGGGTGCGCTCTACTGCACTCGCGGTCGTGTGAAGACGGGCACGTTTTTATCTTCAGATGACGGCGGAAATTAATGCATGCATTGACACCAGTTAGTTTTTCGAGGCGTTCACATTGTGTCTGGACAGCATGTACAAGCACGCACTTTCGTGTTTATTCTACCGACAGGGATTGATGGAGTAGTACAAACACGACATGCCTCGCCAGTTTGGCGGGAGCGATTTTGCAGTGTAA